TGGTGGTGGGGGACGAGGACCTGTCTGCATGTGGTTTGTCCCACCACCGTGATAGTTGTAGAACTGACCGGGAGGTTGAGGAGGAAACTGGTGAGCCATATGTGGAGGCCGAAGAGGATTGACACGAGGTGCTGCTTCCTCTCGAGGTTGATGCTGCAAGGATTCCATCCGATTGGAGCTCAAATAGACCTCCTGCTGGGACTGCGGTACTGACCATGATGGAAGGTACGAGGATCCCGGATGCGAAGAGGAGGAGGGTGCCGATGTCGCCGGCCATGAATAGTTCCACTGAGAAGCCATCACGAGATGGGAGTTCGTCGTCAACACTTGCTGATAGATTAAAAGCTAGGGATACGGCACAAATTGTCGAAACGGCACCCGATTTGCAATCGGACCCAGGGCTTTTTGAAACCGGGAAACAGCAGTTGTCACAACGAATCATCAAAAAGCGAAAGAACCCGCAGTAAGACCAACAAGAAAGTCATGCTTGAGTAAGGCTCTAGCGTGCACTTTTTGTCGCAAAATATCGTCGGTGGTCGAAGACGGCAGTGTGGCGAAGGATGCTCTTATTCGCAATGAAACATCATTAATTGTCATTGGTTGCAGCAGCTCTTGGTGCAGGTTCACGAGCGGAGGACACCTGTGGGCGGCTTCGTATCGGTAGGCCATGCGAGTCCAACGATCTGGCTTGCTTCTGGAATCACCATCCAACACTTGCCCGACACATAGTGGATGACGTCAGGACGTTCACTGGAATCCAGGGCCTCAATGCAAGCTTGCTCTCCTCCCGATCGAATCGGCTGACAGGTACCGACAGCGCGTCCAAACAGCAGCAATTGGGCCATGTTGAAAGACATACTCCAGTTCTGGCTCATCGTGCGGGCAATTTCTTCAGCATCATAGTCGGCGTGTCCAGTGATCTTCCAGCCTTGGGCGTAAAAGGCTGGGCACTCCGAGGAGTGCTGCCTGGAAGGATGGATCTGTCGGCTTCGCAGTATGCCTCTAGTGCCGCCGACACTGGATGCGTGAGTCCAGAGCAGCATGGGTCGCGTCTTCGTTGGTTCTTTGAGCCGAACTGTAGCGCCAAGGTAGGGGATGGTCAGCATGAACCAGTGCGGAGTGATCTTATAAAAGTGATGTTCCGGATTGACCTTTGCATAGTTCAGGGTGGAGTGCTGAGACGGTATGCCGGCTGCATTCAAGGTAGCGGCCACATAGTCCATCTGCTCCTGATTGACCGGGATCCCTTCGCGGACGTACGGTGCGGCAAGCACCTGAAGTTCGTTCCTCCACGGGTCGGACTCCGGGTTGGGAAGCAGGATCAGCGGTGGGTGCGCCTGCGGATTTGGGCGTAGTTGCATGCTCCTCGAGGACGACCCCACATCTGGGTGAGCACCTGTGGCCTTTGAGGCTGGAGCCGATGGGGCACTGCTTCTGCTGCGCGGAAGTGGAGATCGATTGCTTCTCGGTCATCGGGATGAAGCTTTAGTTGCCGTAGGCGCTCGGGATGAGGACTTGGCTGGTGTGGGTGCCGACACGGCAAGAGCCGGTGCTGCGGTGGTGGAATTATCCGATGTTGTGTCCCTTCGGGAGATCGGTGGTGGCGTCCTGGAGCGAGCTCGACCTCGCCGCTGTGGGGGCACTGACTTGGAGTAGGGGGAAGTGTTGTGGGAACGTGACCGCTCTCCCTCCGTTGTGTGGCGTGATCTGGCTGGTGGGTTGGGCGGTGGAAGCATCTGACCTGATGGAGTTGCCGTAGGGATCGGTGCGATAGGGGTCGGTGCTGTGGTCATAGGTGGGCATGCTGCAGTTAAAGTCGTTGGGGTAGCCGGCGTCATTGGAGTCATTGGAGTCATCGGTGTGGCTGGGCGTGCTTTCACCAGGATTTGCGGCAGAGGGCCAGCTACTGATGCTGGCTGGCCAGACAGGCAGGGTAGGGATCGATGCCGAGGCGTCGCCGGGAGCTAGAGCTGGAACTGCAGGTTTGGTAGCCCTTGAGGTGCTGGACACCGCGCCAGAGATGCTAGAGGTTGGTGTCACAGACAAGCGCACTCCTGCTCGGTGATGCTGTCTGGTGCACTGGTGACCTGGGCGGCGTAGGGCCCGCAGTGTTCCTGGATGCCTTGGTCATGGGGCCTGCTGAGTTCGACATCGGGCCTGCGTTGGGCCGTGGCATCTGCTGCCGGCAATTGCGAGCCAATAACCAACTGGCGGCGTCATGGATTCATGCCTGATATGTCGGGTAGTCTGGCAGCCCGTCAAGTGGGGAAGTCAAACGTGACGCAATCTGGGGTGCTGAAACGTCCGGGACATGTCCAAGCCCGTGGTGAATGGTCAACGGCGAAAAGTCAACAGGGGGATTTCCAGAGTCGCGAGCGACAAGGTCCGGTGGTTGTCTGAAGAAGGTGTCGGTACATGGGTCATAACAGGTGCCCGCAAAGGGGATCAAGACACTGACCGACGCCCGGACGCAGTGCCTAAACACACTTGATATGAGACGGCAAAACTGACAATGCGCACCACCATGCAGGCACAGGCTGTTTGAAGGTCTCCGGCAGGGCAATGGAGTTTCGGCTTCACACATGCCTGAACATTGTTCGCCTAGATTGGCCCTCCTCTTCAGGGACGCCAACGGCCAATCTGGCTACTGCATGCCAGGACATGAATGAAGGTGGCGTCCGACTCCAATAAAGAGAGAAAGGCACGACCGCAGAACCCCTTAGGGAACAGGGGGGCCACACACACACACACACACACACACACACACACACACACACACACACACACACACACACACACACACACACACACACACACACACACACACACACACACGCAACCCCCGCCTCATCTGCGCGCCCGGCGGGAGCCGCGGGGAGGCCATGGCGTTGCCCATGTACGGCGCGCCCTGCGACGCTTCGGCGGCCCAAGGCCCAAGAACCGAACACGGGCCTCAAAATCTTCGAACCTCCCAAAGTACTGAAATCGGCAAAATTCACTTCACACCAGTTGGGATGAAACCCATGGAGTCATGGGAGAAAGCAAGTACCACCTGGTGCGAAGAACTTTGTCCATTCTTGCTCCCTTGATCTTGATCATACATTCGAGGACAACGCCGGGTTTTTGGTGACTCACCCTGAGCTTGATAGAAGAATGGAGCTGAAAAGGGTTGGATCATGGATCCATATTGAAAGGGAACTCCATCAAACAAAGGGAAACCACTCACCGCGCTTCGACCTTTCTTTCTCACCACTGCAGGCCGCAACTGGCAGCCCCAGAATGGGACTTTCACCGTGCGCAACTCTGAATTGCCCAAAGGAACCAGGAATACAAAAGGAACCTTTGGGACCTTGACCAAATGTGGTCCGAAGCCGGAAAGCCGAAAGGTCGATTTGCTGAGCAAAGAGAGCAAGTTGGCCCGGGAAAAAGAGAGCCTTAGGCGTCAGCTTTCCCTACGGGACTTGGGGTTGACAATTGGTCCAAACAAAAAAATGGGCGGTGTCGCAAAAACCTGCCGCTTGCCCACTAAAAGGGAGAGCGGCACCCCAACAACCATGTTCTTTCAACAACACCCACGTAACAAAGCCCACACCGAGAAGAGAGAAGATGAAAGGGTGGCACATAGTTTGGAACATTCTGGGGGCCAGATAAGACGTTCTGGGACGTCATCAAGCCGAATTAACCTGCTGGTGCTAAGTAGGGAATGAAGGGATGGCCCTTACAAACCATCCCTTGGTGGTTGAGGGGTGGATTCGCATGCACTCTCTACAAGAACCAGGGGTTCAAATCCCCAAACCACCAATCCAAACTACCAAATAAGGGTTACCAGTTCAAAAATCACCTGTGCAAAAAAGATATCGGATCGCCTCTCAGCCTGGCTCGGTTCCCCCACCCCATGGGAAGAAAGGACACGGTTTGTTGGGCTGGCTTGAAAGGGAAACGCACCCCCAATTGCTGATTGGGATTGGTGGTTTGGATTTGGAATTGAACCCCCGGCTTTTGCAGTGATGGAAAACCACTCTGTAACCACCAAACCACGTGGCTCCAAACCACCAATTGGAGGGAAGCTAAGAAACCCCTCCCGAAAAAAATCTGAAGAGAAGCAATTGTTGCCACCCAAAGGGAAACCGCGTTTGGAGACCCAACCCCTGTTTATATAACTAGCCGCATCATCAACAAGCCCGGCCCCTAATTACCGGGAGGAGTGGGGGGTGGGTGGGCAGAAGCTCCATCGATCTCGTCCCATCTTTCTTTTGGGAAAACATTATTGTTCAAACCATCTGGGAGATTATAAAAATATATTCTACTATATCCAAGGGCAAAACGTATGATGCCAAATGTTGGCCCAATAGAGAAAGAACGTGAGCTGGGTTGCGGTTTCGAGCGTCGTGCCAGGTGACTTTCCCCACGACTCCGGAGGCCTGCGGCATCATCTGCGGAACCATGGGCCTGGTACGAGATCCGTTGACCCGAAATGTCCCAAAAAAGGGGACTTCGGGGACCTGTTAAAGAAGATTCGTGTATATACATATATATATATATATATTGTATATATACATATGATATATATATATATACATATATATATATATATATATTTATATTTATGCCCCGAAATCGCAAATTTCTGGAGAGAGGTGCAAAACACATGGTGCCGAAGCGGGTGAAAGGTCTCTTTGGGCTTGTTTTCAAACTGGATGCCCCGTAGAAGTAATGGAAGCCCTAGAAGAATGATTGATTTGCTGTCGGTTTCGCTTTTAAACCAACCCCAAGCAGTCAGCTGACTCCTCTTCGGCGGTTTGGATTGGCACTTGAGGGCTTGGGGACCCTTCCCACCCAAGACCCAGGCACAGGTGTCCTTTTGGATAAAAAATGAATGGGCTTCCCTGGCACATGTAGAGAGGTTGGAATAAGGGTACCCTCTATTTCAGCAGGGTAACCCTCCCCCAAAAACGACACCACTGGGGGACCTAGTAAACCAGTGCCTTGCCCATCCGTTTCTAACCGAACGAACCGATCAAAAGGACATGGACCCAGGGCCGCGCCTCATAGGCGCGGGGCTCATTCCCGGACTGGGCGTCCACGGCCGAGCCGGCAGGGTCATCGAGCTCGCCTCACAAATCATCGAGCGACCCGGGGAGCCGAGAAATTTAGGGGGGAAAACACAGCGGCGTTGCCCAGGTTTCTCAAACTGTTGCGAAGAAAATCAATGTTCCAAGGGTTGTGTGGTTCACCTTTGTTTTTTTTTGGCAGGGGACAATTACATAATGCTTGGGTGATTGCAGGAGAGAAACACACAACCTTTGGATTGTGTGTTTTGCAGGGGGAAAGGATTTTCTTTAAAGCACGAAAAGGGTATCAACCTATCCATTCCCACTGGGTGGTTGAAATGGTTAGTCTTCACTAAGGCCAGTGATTTCTACTCTGCACAGGTGAGCTGGAAACAAAGGTTTTCACCTTTTGGGAGGTGTGAAGGTATCGGAATGTGCCAAACCGTGCTTGTAGTTCTTGTTCTTTATCTATCACCTGCTCGTTGGACAGCTGCAAGCCAGCAGGCAGTTGTTTTGCTTTTTATTGTTGGATTTGGACAACTGAGCTTCTTCAACCCAGGCTTGCCCTTCCCGGATGCAGCAACCAGACTTCCAGTTGGAAACAGGCACTTTGTCGGGCTCTCTACATTCCCCTCCTGAAACATCCCACTTCAACAGAAAGCTCCCTCAACCAAACTGGCCCAAAAGGTGATGCTTAAAACCACCAAACAGGGATAAATACATATTTGTATACACGGGTCTCACGTCTGCTTGCCAGCGGCTGCCTTTTCCCGTGCACTGCATTCCGGTCTTTCACCTTATTCGGAGGCCGGGACCACCCCTAGTTAGTAAGCCGCCTTCGGAGAACCATTTCGCCGCCCAGCTCCTTCTTGGCAACCCAACTTGGGTCTGAAAAAGGGGCACCCCGGTCGCAAACGCTTCCGGATCCGCGGGAAAGCCACAGCCCTCCAGCTGCTGGTTTGGAGCGAGCCACAAAGCTGGCGCCCGGGTCCCCCAGGAAAAGCCCACCGCTTCCAACGTTCAAATCCAAACCGCCGGGCTCCGAGCCACCGCCGGGCCCTTACGGCTCCCGTGGGCTTCACGTCGGAAGAACCCTCCAAAAATGCCGCCGCGCCGCTGCGGGCACCATCGGGCGCAGGACCTGCGCAGCCTGGGCCGCCTGGGCCGGTCGTCGTTTTCCGAGACGCCACCAAGACCCGGGAATGGGTCGGAGCCCAAAAGGTCCGAACTTGGGGCTGGCCACTCAGAATTATTATATATATATATATATATATATTGTTTTTAGTCGTTTCAGGAAGGCTAAGAACACCCTGGCCATGTGAAGAGGAGGCGCCCTTGAAGAAATTCGCCACGACGGGACACGACTAATGAATTCTGTGGAACATGCAGAATTCCCCCCCCTCACAAAGACCCCCTTCCAGAGGTTCGCAAAAGAAGAAAACGATGTGCCAAAGGCAAGTCATGCGTTGCCTGAAACAGCAAGTCATGGGTTCCGAGCCCCGGGAAGGAGCATAGGGCTTGGCGCTTTGGGAAGGTCCCAACAGACTTGTCTCACAGCTTGGCTTCCTTCACCACCTTTCTGGTTGGGAAGAGTTGTTCCAGGTTCAAAGGGGCCTCAAAGGAAAGTTGGGAAGGCTTCAAGCTCGGATCTTCGCAAAAACCTGGCGCCTGCTTTGGGCACTTCAGGTCCCAGCGTTCTCATCTTTCCTGGTGATGTGGGTTGGTGGACGGTTTCCCATCCACCCACAAGAAGCCGGGCTCAAATCCCAAACCACCTGTAACTACGGGTACCTGAGAAAAAGACAAAAGAGGCAAACAGGAGATGTGTGTTGTCTTGAGAGCAGTTGTGTGGTTTAATGGAAATCCACAAAAGGAAACCGTCCTCTTCTTTCTTTCTTTCTTTCTTTCCTTGTTTCTTTCTTTCTTTCTTTCTGGGGAGGTATCCCCAATTTAATCCACCACCCCCCCCTCCCCCCCAAAACAGAAAAGAAGAAGAAAAAAGAAAAGTAACTTCCCTCAAAGAAAGACAACTACATACCCATCTTGACACAGACCCAAACCCCCCCAAGGTCATGGGCCACTGGGCCGGGCTGAAGGGCGGCAGCGTGGGCTGGCTCTGCGCCAGCGCCGCCGGCGCCAAGCCCGGCGAGCCCTGCGCCAGCGTCGGCACGCTCTGCGTCAGCGGCCTGCGCGCCGCGCGAAACTTTGTGGGCCAGCGTAGGTGTCCTTTTTGTGTCCTGGGCGGAAAAACGAAAGTTTGTTCAAGACTTGCTGGTTCTCAGTAATGACCTCAGTTGTTCAGTGACCCTGGGAAAAAAAGGGAACCCTTCTTGGGGAAGACCATTTTTAGGTGCGGCAGCCAACATACTGTGGATGGACGAAATCCATTTCGCACCACCTAAGAAACCATGCAAAACCAATGTTTGTTGGTAATTTCAGGGGAATCATCGTTCCAGGGTTTTGTAGGTGGTGCAGGATTTCGTCCATCCACAGTAATTAGGTGTCCTTCTTGGAAAATAGATGGCCCTGGTAGATGATTGATCCAGCAGGTAAAAACCAGTTTTACTTCCCATGGGAACCACCGATTTATTTCCTAGGCCAATCATTTCACACAACGCATTTATCTTCGATTGTTTTTCCATAGGAACCATCCATGGGAAACCACAAAACGCATTTATCCATGAGAACCACTTAGGGAAAAAGTAAAACACTTCTATCTCCCATTTATTCCCATTGAAACCACCCAGGGAAAACAATCCATCCAGAATCCAGAAAATCCAGGAATCCGCATGGCTGCTCAAATTTATGTCCAATTTGCACAGGCAACCCATGGGAAGCATGTGTTTCCCACATGTTTTCCATTTACCCACACAGAATCACGGAAAGTAAACCCAGGGGCTATTTGGAGTCCATTGTCTTGAGTTTTGAATAGGGAATGCGGGAATGACCCCAAACTGAACCATCCAACTGGTGGTCTTTTGAGGGGTGCCTAGCGCGGGGATCAAAACTCGTTTCAGAAGTTCACTTGAAAAAGCATGACCCCTCTGTCATTGCCTGCCTTGCACCAAAGAGGGGGGGGAAGCTCAGTTGCAACTCCATGCCCCCAATTTTGGCTGACGGGCACGGAGCCATGGGAAAGCTTTCTTCGCAAAGGCGGCAAAGTGACAAAAACCGAACAACCCTTAGTATGGTAGTGAAAAAGAAACATTGTTTTTTTTTTTTTTTTTGGCAGCCCCACTCAACATGACCTGAACCAAAAACCTAAAAACCTAAAAACATGCAACAACAGTGAAGAGAGCAACAAGAGCAAACAAGCAAAACTATTCCCACATGGTGGGCTATCCAAGGGCCAACCTGGAAGCTACCCTTAACCACCAAACCACTGCGCTTCCAAATCGACAATTAGAATTTAACATGATGAGGGCTACCCCTTTGTCCACTTATACATGGCACCCACCATAAAAACACTCCATTTCCAGAAGCGACAGGTTGGATCCCACTTTCCCCCCTTTTTTTTGTTCGAGAAAACAAGTATGATGGGCCTTGCACCCCGAAACGCCTCAGGTGATCTCCCCCTTTCCGAAAAAAATGGCCCTCCACCCCGAAACGAACCGCCGCAGGCTTTCCCACGGCAACGGCGGCAACGCCGTCTCCCCATCCCTCCCCGCGCCCGGCGATGCTCGCCGGCGCGGTGCCCTCGGCTCCGGGAGGGGCCAAGAAAAAGCCGAAACGAGGCGAAAGACCGTAACTCGCATGGAGTACAAGACCGAAATTGTGACAAGGTCATTTGGGTACAAGACCGAAACTTGTTGTCCAGGTCGTTATGAGGAAGCGCTTGAAGCGTTTTTTTTTTTTTTTGTTTTTTCCGGGGAAGGATTGGGTTTGGGGGGCGTTTCGCCATGTCAGCCCTCCAGCGGCTCTTGTCGCCTCTGTGTTTCTTGGCCGTTTTGCAAAACACGAGGCCTGGGCGAAGCATACCATGAGGTCCACTCTTGGCGAAAAATGTGAGACACCTTAATCATGGGTGAGGCTCTTCAAAAGAAATTCCCATGGGACGGCCACCCAACAACATGCACTTTCGCTGGTCTTCCAGACCTCAAGAGGTCCCTTTCCTGCCGAATGTTCGGGAAAGCCGGCTGGGAAGGCAGCTGGGCTGGGCGACCAATCCTTTGTCCCTTTCCTGCCGATGTTTTGGGGGAGAAACATTTTTTTCTGAGCAACTTGAAGCCGATCCGTCCGGGGCGCGGAGGCTCCAGCGTCGGGATCCCGCATCGACTGCGAGGCTGAGATGGTCTCCTCCGTGTCCTCCGGGAATCGACCCCTTGGAAGGTGGGGGGGCCCAGGGCAAAAGTGGAGGAGCCTCAAGGTTGAAGATGGCAAGACTCCAGGAAATCCTGAAATTGCTCCCCCAGCTGCTTGGAGAGTTCACAGCAAGAGCAGCGCAACTCTCTTTTTCAGTCGTGAAATCAACATGAGGAATTGTGCCATGGATACCTTCGCCCAACTGAAATGGCGTGGATCGCTATAAACTCCAATTCCTTGTGAAGCTGGGAAGGCATCCTGCCCCAAACCACACATCTACCCATAAAACCAGGAACCACCCAACACATGTGTTTTTTTTTGGCCGGAGGGGGGTGGGGGGGGAGAGGCAATCACCCACGTTTAAGGGCGGCTTAAAAACTCCAGGATGCCTTCGCCGCCAGGCACCCGGCTTGGGCGATTCCGGGCGAACCCGCGAGACGGAAACCCTTAGTTAAGACCCCCCGGAAGAAAAAAAAAACAGTAGTGACAAATTCCGTTTAAAAAAACAACAAGGGACAATCAATAAATACATAATTAATAAACACTTAAGCCAATGGAAGTTATGAACAAGGAACTTGTCACCATGAGATCAGCTGCACTTGCTATACACCAGGTCACCAGGCCGGCCCCTACTAGTTCAGACAGGGTTGACCCATCCGACCCTGCAACAAGGGTAGAAAGTTGGCCCCAAAAGACACCCACGGGCCTCTTCCACCATGTTGTTCACTATAGCAACCCTTTCAACCGAACACAGGTTGATTGGCCTCAAACGTTTTGAGGTTTCATCAGCCAAGGCAACCCTTTCAACCGAACGTTGGCCTCAAAAAAAATACTCAGCCAAGGGCCGCTTCCCTCCCCACCGCTCCTCCCCACAATTCCCCCACCTCCCTCCACCATCCCCACCGCCCCCACCATCAACCCCCATGCCTCACGCTTCTCCGCGCGGGCGGAGCCTGGCGGCTCCTTGGAACCGAGCCGAGGCACAGGCGGACCTCTCCCCCCAAACAAGATGGAGCCGGTTTTGGGGCCCCGTTTTGGTTGTTGGGTGCCAATTTGGTTATTCTCCGCTTCCCTCTGGTTGGTTTGGATTGGCGGTTTGGTGGCTAAGTGGGAAACCCCCATACCAATCCAAACCACCAACTCAGGGTGACCTGATAGTGTGTATGCAAACCATAAAATCATCAGCCGGCTGTGGGTCAAAAATGGGAACTGGTAAATGGACAAATGGACCAACACCGCCTGGTGCTTTAATTTTGACCCATACCCAGCTTCCCTCTGGTTGGTGGTTTGGAGTGGTGGTTTGGTGGTTTGGATTGGTGTTCTCATAGCAGGGGTTCAAATCCCCAAAACCACCAATCCCAACCACCAACTAAGGGTTACCTGATATATATATATATATATCTATCAGCACTTGATGTACTTCTCGGTGCGGTCATATTTTGCATACAAACGTATCTTAAACAGATGTATGCACCCATAATAATTATTTGGTTGTTTCATTAAAAAAAAGCTGAATCCCCATGCTGCACAGGCGCCTCGCCGAAGTGAAAGGCATCCTCCTCGGGGGCTCGGGGGGGGGGCGGAGGGTGCAAGGTTGTTGGTGTCCCCCCTGCCAAAAACCTCTGTGGTTCTTAGGGGGCTTTTTTTTTTTTTTTTTGGTTGGGGGGGGGGGAACAACCGCTCGTGCGAGGCGGGGCGAACGGCAGGACCAAAGCCCCTGTTTCTCTCAAGCCTACGAAGGGGAAAACTTTCCCATGGCCAATCGGAGTGTAAGGGCTTTCAATAAGCCCCCACTGGTTGTCTGAACACTTGAGAGACCACCAAAAATTATGCCCCTTCCAAATCCACTTAGGGGAGTCCGGCATCACCGTACCCAAAGGACACTCACTTTAAACGGCAACTTCGGGTGTCCTGAAGCAAAACAGCAAACACGTCTATAAAATTACTGGGAACAATGATTCATTGACACTCTCTTTGCCAACTGCAACGTCTGCGAGAGTCAACCGCAATCCGCAACTCGCCCAATTCCTAGACCAGGCTCACCCCTCAGGGCTCCCTGAATTTTCGCTTACATCCCCAAAGGAACCTCACATCTTGGCAACGCCCCACTTCAAGGTGAGATTCGGGATGGCAGTGCGATTTGTCCAGTTCACAAAGGAAGGTCGGAACCAATGAGCTAAATATGAGGGCACCTCCCGCTGTTTCCCGTTCAAGCCTCACTTCCTGAGTGGATTGGCCAGAAAAAGGTCTATACTAAACTTGTGGTTTACTCCCCCCCCCTCAAAAAAAGGGAAAAGAAATGCTAAAAAGTTGCCAAAAAAAGAAGCTAAAATGGTCTGCCCCAAAAAGACGCTTCAAGTCCAGGTTCTTCGAATGAGGCCACCTGGCCTGTCCGCCAACCGCCGACTCGCCCCGATTTTCCCCCGGCCAGGCCTGCAAGTTGCTCGCGAGTCTCGACATCTGCCAAAGGCGAGCGGAGAACATTGGGTTGAGGGGAACTCGTCTAGGTCCTCCAGTAGAGAGCTTAGAAGAAGGGTACCAACTTTTTGTCTGTCGTCTATTTAAGTAGGGGAACCCTCCTCCAAAACCGGGAAAAAGAGCACAACTGGGGGACCTAATATTTAAGAATAATCAAGCCTGTCATAGGCAAGGCAAGCAAATAGACACATAGGCAAATAGCAACAAACGAGTCACTAAACGAAAACATCTCTAAAGCCCAACCCACCCCGGCTCGCATGCAAACATGAGCTCAAACATGCCAAGCATGTGCAGCAGCACGCAGCCACCAACAAGATGACAGCACCAACAAGCGCAAGGACGTGACATCGCAAAAAATGTCGAACCGATTTTGAGCCATTGCTGGGTGAAGCCATTGCAGCCTAGTCTTGACTTAATATATTGACAATTCCGGGCCATGATGGCCATGATCTTCAAACCTCTGGCTCGCTCCCTTTGGGCGAGCAGCCCCGCGCGTCTCTCGCCTTGTCCTTGATGCTGGCCAACTTGTGCAGCGGAGACATCCCAGCCTGGTGACAAGCCCTCGCCCGCATGAACTTGGGGAAAATGAGCGGCAAACAACGGAACCGCGAAATCAACCGGTGTCTTTTTCAGGGGACCCCCCAAAATGGTGGTTCTCCTTTTTGGCTTCCCCTCAAAACCACCAGACAAGGAAGTGGCACACCCCAGAAAAGACCCAACTCAAGCACGACATGCGGTTTCCCTAGCGCTTGTTCCGGTGCCCTCTTTGAAGCGACTGGTGGGTTGGGACCTTGGGGCCTGCGTGCAAAGCTCGGCAAGGAGCTGCTGCTGCTGAATGTGCGATTTGTTTTGCAGCGAACCCCGTACCCGTGTTGCTTCGAGAGGCAGGGAAGGACCCGTCAGGTTGCTGCTTTGGAGCCCGGTTTGGGCTCCAAACCACAAGTTGGCTCGGAAGCGGTTTGGGATTGGTATCACCCCAAGCAAAACTCTCCCCTATGGTTTCCGTTCAGGGAACCTCTAGGTTCATTCCAACGCCCGGACTCTGTCATTCCCGCTGAGCACCAGCAAGCTTTTCAGGTTGGTTCAAAGGAAACCAAAAAGGACAGATGCCATTTTAGGGGTGCCCCTATCTTGACACATACCTAGCTGGACAGCGCAGGGAAGTTGTGACCAATCCATTGTTTTGTTCACAAACAAACGCACAAAACGGAATCAAATCCTAGGTTGGTTGATTGTAAAGGGACGCCCTTCCCAAAAAAAGGAACAAAGGGTGGAAGTAACTGGGCAACATGGATCTAAACAAATACGGTTTTGCAAAAAAAAAGGGAACGCAAACGTCGCAGTGGATCAAAGAATCAGCCAGGAACCGAAGAACCAAACAACATCATGGAACGAAAACTGCCGTCGACGAACCATGAAGCAATCGTCAGGACTCTCGTTAGAATAAGGGTGCCCTTTTTTTCGGTAGTCCATTTTAATAGAAAAATCCCCCGCAAAAAAAACGGGAAAAAGGGCACCACTGGGGGACTGGCCCGCTGTGGAAAACACAGACCATCCCATTCCGACAAACCCCCACTCTTGTGGAACAGGATGCCCTGGACATTACTTTGGATACCCAGATCCCCACTTCCTGGTTGATATGAAACGAAGAAACAAAGTAATGCAAAGCGAATGGCTCGGGTGCGAGCTAGCTTCGGACCAGATTCAGACATAAACATGGCTTCTGATATTTGGTGTTTCCAACTCCTGCAAGAAGTGCCAACAAAAAAGTCCAAACTGCTTGCTTGCCACTAAAACGGTCCCAGAAAAAAACATCCGGGAAAGGGAGTCAAGCCAAAGAACTTGGCGCCCCAAGTTTGATTACCCGAAATCTACTCGATGTTTGGAGACCCCAGCAAAACTAAAGAACACAAACTGTTGGTTGCTGTTGACCCTGCAAAAAGTGTGACCTTTTTGTGGGTCCAATAGATTAAACCCTGGCCCATTGTTTCAACCTTTTTGACTCCGGCTGTGCCGGACATCTTCTGAGTCTGAGTCATACTCAAGCCATGCTTCAACCCAAAAGTGAAGAGATCCGCTACCAAATAGCATATTATTCCTCAACCCCATGCACATGGTCAACATTCAAACAGCCCCAGGCATCCCCAGGCAATTCATCGGAAAGCTTTCGGCCGAAAAAGCGGCGGATAGTTTCGGGGCGCGCCTTCCCGGCGTCCGCGGTCGCCGAGTTGCCTTGGCTACCCTCGGACGGCGCCTGGCGCGAGGGGAAGTTGAGGGGGGGGATGGGGGGGGGACTTTTGAGGGGAATCCGGGGGGGGGGGTTGGTTGGGGGGTTGGTTGGGGGGTTGGTTGAGGGGTTGGTTGGGGGGGGTGGAGTACACCAAAAACTTGATTCAGATCCTGAACCTTTGTGGCTACCTAAACTAACGATGGAGGGGAAAGAGTGGGACGTTCAACCTGTAAGGGAATCAGCTGAGGATGCTGATGGATATTGTGGCATTGGCATTGAAATTGTGCCAGACCCCAATATCGCTAACCTAACTCTCCAGGACCCACGTAACTAACAACCATTGTCCTAGGGTATTGCTCAAACTACAGCAGCAAGGACCCTTAAGCTACTGATTCGGCCCCGATATAACCACACCGAACAGGCTTTGGCAGGGGGTCAAATTTGATGGCCGCCGTCAAAAACGCGAACCCACAAATGAAGTTCCCAATTTTCAATAACCTCATACCCTTGCTTACTGACATTGCAAAATAAAAGTAGGGTGTCATCGCACAGAGCATGCTCTTTGCCGAAGAGGGAGGGTGGGGGAACTCGCAGAATCACTCCATCTGGCATTCAAGTTACTTTTGCTCGAGGGCAAAAGCAAGCGCTTCCTCGCCCACACCCAGCCTCCTGAAAATTCGAGCTCCGAGAAGGAACCTTCATGAGTCAAGTTGCTAGGGCGCTACAAACTGCCAAGTTTCGCAGGGACGGGGGCGGTAGGAGGGATCCCCCAAATCACCAACGTCCATGTTGAACGGATGCGGCTGGACTCCTGCAGCGAGGGCGTACCCCTTGTTCACATTCCTTGGTCGTTTACCATTGGCTCTGTGTCATGTACCTAAGCGGTATGTGAAAGTAGTACTTTGGCTGAAAGCCCTGTTTTGGCAACAGCTTGGCCATAACTGTGGCTTAAAGGGAGCAGCCAAGCCCTGTGGGCTTAGTTGATCCTCTTTCGTTGCCTTTCGGGATTCTGGATTGGGATTAAATCTCGCTTCCGGCGTTGCTGGGCTTCATGCTTTTTGGGAAGACTATTTTAGTGGAACTCAGAAAGTCTGGGCTTTTTTCGGCCCATCCACTCAGGAAGTGAGATAGAAATCAAGGCACCCAGGCATGACTCCGGTGCTGCGAAAGCCTTGGCCACTGGAGATTGGGTCTGCAAACTTCCCCGTCCGTAAACCAAAACAAGGACTAAGGATAAAGGTCGACCCCGGATTAATAAACCCGTCCTATTAATATAGGTGTCACTTACAAAAGCTGTCCAAACCCACTCAAAGCCGTTTGTTTTTTGTTTTTTTCTCCTGATTCGGGGTTAACATAACCCTTAAGCCGCACAGCAAGCAACCCCGTAGAACAGACCCAGCCAAGGAAAAGAGGGTCAACATTAACATTAGGGTCAACATGAGAAGGACGCAGCTCAATGCGACAAAAGCTCAGGGAGCCAGCAAAGCTCAGTGCAAGACAGTTGGAAGCAGTCACTCTTCACATGGCCAGTTGTCTGCGAAGCTCAACGTCAGTTGGCAGCGCCTTCATCCATGTTGCTCGTCCAGTCAGCCCAGTTGGCAGGAGTGCGGCGGTTTTGCCTGGTGAAGCAGTGCTCCAAGCCGTATGACCACCTCTGTTTTGTTGTTTTTTACCCCCCCCCCCCAAGCTGGCGCCTGATAACTGCCCATGCTCGCCAGGCTGGCCATGCTCGCCATCCGCGGCGACATGTCCTGCGCGCATTGGGGGTTTTTGACTCGTTGGATGCGGCAGAAAAACCGAAAATTCGGCTCAAAGCTTGCTGGCTCTCAGTAATCACCCACGGTTTGGAAATGAACCCAAAAATTGGCCCCCTTCAAGAAAACCACCTGGATTGTTTCTACTAGTCCTTCCAACTCATTCCCTGGCGCAACCAGTGCAACCTTCTGGGGGTTGGTCCCGGAAGCCAAAAGGAAAACCACCATTGGGGTTCAAATCCCTATATTGAACAGAGCGGCTCGCTCTGAAACAAAAACATGAGCTTCACTGTCCCCGCTGAACCCGTTTGGGATGCGAGACTGGCCAGGCAGAACACAAAGTTGGTCTTCGGGGCTCGAGTTCGGTGCACTCGTCGCTTGACAAAGTTGGGTCTTTGTTTGACCCCGATTCCCAAAAATCCTGAGAACCTTTCTGGGGTGTTTTAGGGTGCCTCTCCTGCAAAGTTTGTATACTGGTGCCCCTGAATATCAGTGGGCACCTTTTTCGTTGCCTTGCTGAGTGAAGACCCTCTGGACGCAACGGCAAAGAGAGAGAGAGAGAGAGAGAGAGAGAGAGAGAAAGTTTGCATCCGCCATCGTCACATTGCTACTAGGGGGCGCCTCATTGGACCGACCTGTGAGGTTTGCTCATGCAGGTTTCCGGAGCTGTGCCAAGCCTTCCTGATTCGTTTGCAGGACGCGCAAATGCCAGATCCTTGCTGGGCCTCTTTCCCGACGGAACCCCTCAACTTGAACAAAGCCAGCCGCCAAACAAACGCGGCATGCGCAACACGTAACTCACCAGGACCGACGTAACTAGCCACCCGGCAATGAAAGAAACTCCCTGTCATGCGACTTCCTTATAAATAAAGCGGTGCCGCTGCCCGGTGTAATTTGCAGCCATGCTGGACGAGTGCATCTCTGGCTCCCGTGCCCTTTGGAAAACGATGGCTGGTACTGGCTGGAAAAAAATAAGAACTGAAGTGACACCAGCCAGGCCCATGTTCAACCAAACTGGCAAGACCTAAACTGCAAAGCCCTGGTCTTGCAAGACCAACGAGGTCCGTGATGCAGCTTCCAAATAAATCAATTACCCTGGGTTGGCCAAATCCAAGATACGGTAAAAGGCCCCCTCGCCAGAATACAAACTGATCCCCAGATTGAAGTGGAAGCCAAACGCAAATCACATTTGATCGCCTCTTGGGCGGATGAGTTGTTCATATATTTTTCAAGGATCCCCCCCCTCCCAGCCACCCGCCCCCTCTTCCGTCACTGCCCACCCCCCCCATTTGCCCCAAAAACATCTAACGAGATCTTGCAAGGCTGTATTGCAAGCGACCGGGGAAGCGCGGGCTAAGCTACAATTCCTTACCAAACCTCCTGGCAGCTTCTTAGCTCCCTCAAAGGCTCAGAATTGGATGCCTAGCTCCTTGCCCTTGCAACCACTAGCTAGTGGGCCGGAGATCCGGTCGAAGTGCAAGGCCCCCGCTCGATCCTGGTTGCTGACCAATCGCGGCGCCTGCAAGCACGGATCAAAGCCAACATCAACCTCCCAAGGGAATCAACCTGAACTGACCTTTTGGGGAGACTTTGAGGTGTTGCGGAAACCGGTTCTCCAATGCGCTTTGGTTGTGGGTCTTCCTTTCAATTCCTTTCAACGGCAAAGGTATAACTTTGAGGATGCCGCAAGATGCCACAAGAATGAACCAAGTCTAGGCGGAGTAATTCGTCCCAATCTCCCGGGTGCCCGCCCTCAGATTTGAAGAGCCGGGCAGCGCGGTGTACTGATTTCTTGCTACTTTCCAACTTGGACGACATGTTGCCAAGCCATCCATTGCAATCGCTCCCCATAACAATGCGATCCCCCCCCCCACCCGGCCAAGTGATAAGCCCAACCCCCCCAGTCGCCATTGAGAAAAGGAAAGGGCTTCAATCCTTTTTCTTGTGGTGCAAAGAGCAACCCCTTTGAACCAATTGCAAAAAAAGGGAAGCACTGCTGTGTGCCGATGCCAACCTGTCGCTGGGTTCGTACAAACACCATGGGCCAATGCCCCCACTGGGCGAATCTGGAAAAAGCGAGCCTCAGCGCTCGCCCGCGGGGAGGCTCGAGAGTCCTTGCGCAGGTCTCCCCTTTTGGCAACCCACAAGGTGGTGTTTTTGCGGCCACCAAAGGGCCTGGATTTGTTTTTTAGTCGGCGCCAGGTATATATCTAATACTGCTTGAGAATGGGCTGGCTTGGCACAAAACAAAAATCTCGTGGCAACCAAAAGGCGGGGTGCGCAGCCTATGGCCCGAACTCAAGCGGGTCGGAGGCCTCCTCAGACTTTGGCCCGGATATTTTCTCCCTTGCAACAGGGGAAGGACGGGCAAACGGGTGATTTGGGGTTTGTCGTTTTTGGGGGTGCCCCTTTTCGTTTTTTTTCAAGGGAAGCCAAAAAAGACGTCTTTGCATGGGTAGGGGGTCGCCTGAAAATTTTGCAAACCCAAGTCTGGCAGCGGGCCGTTCTTTCCCAAGAACTGATTACCGGGCAGGTCCCCCAAGTGACCTTTCCGGCGCAACTGTGCCGGGGGAAAAGACCCCTGCAAGGGCGTGAAAGAGGGAAGCGTCGGACCTGGGAAAACTTCCCATGCGAAAAGTGACTGCCTTTACCAATTTCGTCCCTAAAAACCAATTTCGGGAGATGTTTGGGAACCACCAAGTCCTCATGGCCTAACTTCCTATCGAAGGCTTCATGACTATCCTCACTTGGCCGAGTGAAAAATGAAGGAGGGCAAAGGCAAAGCCACGTGGCCTCGAGAGAGCGGCAGTCTGTCATCAAGTTCCCCGAGAAATCGGAACTGCGGGCCAACGGTTGCTTAAAATGGGTGCGCTGAAACCGTGCACTCTCCAGACAGCTACAGCTTGAGAACGCACTAACTACCACTTGTACCGTGAACCACGCTGTCAGTTTAACTGGTGTTTTCCTGAGTCTCCCTATGGTTTCAGTACGTTTCTCACATTTAAGATTTCAATGCAATTTCCGCGACAGTGACGATCTATTTACATGGTTGTTACGCGGTAGCCGCCCCCCTTCCGAACAACGCGAAGTTCTCCCACCTGAAGGACGGGGTGCCGAAAATTTAAAACCCGCAAACGTAAAGTAAAACAGTAATGTAAATAAATTGTAAAACAAGTCGCAACGTTTACGCAACATTCACCGAGTTTAACGATTTTCGGCTAAATTGAGAACTTGTTCACGCTTTTCTGGTGCTCACGAATTTCCTCTTTCCAGAACCCCCCAAGATTGGCATACCAGAAGACAGAAATGCAAATCAGACCAACATCGTATCTAAATCGCAAAAAAATGGGCTTCTCCTGACTTAGCCTCCACCGTCGCAAAAATCCTCGTGAAAGATTGAACTCTGGGCCCGCCTGTCGTGGGGACGCCTCCTTGGCACCGCTCTCCGCTCTCGAGCGGCTAACCCGAATTGAGGGGAGGGATTAGTGGAGGAGCGCATCCTATTCCAAGAATCCTTGAGATCTAGGGGAACTTGTGGACGAAACGGCGGGGCAAAGGGGTCTGCATATGCTGGCCCCCAAATTCAACCTATATTGAGGGAACCCTGAAGTAACTGACCTTCATCATGGGCGGGATTGTTTCATCCCCAGGCTGGTCAGGGTGGAGGGCTGCGAGCTCTAGAACTCACACACTGGAAGCCCAAGTGAGACATAGTCAAACCTGGTACACAAATGGTGAACCCAGAGCCATGTAACAAAATGACAAGGCGGCGGCAACCATTTTTGGCTGAGAGTGTCCCTTTCTACCCTCCAAGTACCCGGGTTTTGATTGTGACAGGAGTACGGAACCTGCATTTATCCAGACCAATGGACTCGCAAGGAACAAACAGCCAGTAACCGCCCCGGTACCAGCACCCAGCCTGCAGCCCATCGGTGTCAGCTGGTCGTGTTTGGCTTTGTTATGTTGCTTTGTTTGCGGGGAACCGACCCAAAGAAACCGATTTGACCCAAAAAGAAAACGCCACTTTCTGGAGAATCTGCCCCACAGCTGCCAAGCATCTGTGACCACTTGGCACTGGCCGCTCTGCTGCTGCCTGCGTGGGGATCCAGCCTGGCTGGGCGAGACTCACCATGTATACAAGTCTAAGATGTTGCCCACTGTTGACCCACGAGACTTGTAGAAGGCTACTTTCCTTTTGGGGGAGCCTTCTGTCAAGGAGACTCGGCGCCAATGTAACGCAGAACCCCAGAAGCCATCATCTCCAGTGGAACCTCCTGAGCATCCCAGATTTCACGTCGCACTGCAAGCATTCTGGCTCTGTGGGAGGGCGGGGGTACCTTTTACTAGTAGCACCGCGCAGTTCAGCCAGCTAAATGAACAGGTGCCAAACAGGGATCCTGGAAAGATCAAACTCCAAAGATCTATGATCACGTGGCACCCGGGGAGCAAACCAAAAGGCCAAAAGATATAGACGCATGAAGGCAACTCTTGGCTCTCGCACATCTAGCCCGGAACCAGCCGAAACAACTACCCGTGCCCAGGAGTAAAACAACAAGAGCCGACGCAACGTGCCGAAACCAAAAACCACTGCCCATTTTCCAGGCGGGGCGACAGCACCCAGCCTGCAGATCGCACACGGTCCGACTTCTGCCAAATGCGAATTGCCAAAGGACTTGCTTAACAGGACAGCGGGCCTCCAGTAAAAAGGGGGCACCGAAAAGAGGCTGTTTGAACAATGGGCACCCTCCGCCCCACTAACGTGGCACCTGACAGGGGCCCTTCAAGCGGAAATTGCTTCTCCGTGTGCCCTCCCACCAGGGGCTGTGCCCAAACCCTAGCAAACAGAAGTCCAACTTGTGTGCATTGTGTCTCGCCCAAAGTTGAAGAACTGAGTGTTGGGTCAAGGGGGTGGGGAGACTGTCTGGCTTAGGAGTTGGCCCGCCTGCAACGGCGGCTGCGGCAGCGGCGCTTGCTGTCGCGGCGATCCCGCGGATACATCCTTAGGACGTAGCGTCTGAGACTGCCTTTGCCACAGAAACAATATGTTTAATTCTGGGCCATATCTAATGAACCTTGAAAAGCGAAATGAGCTCCAAAGAGACTCCAGGATAGGTCTCTGACTTTGCCGCTTCAACTATCCTTTGCAACCGAGGGTCCGCAGGGATCAAACCTCTTAGACGACGTCATTTCACATCGAACGGCTGACCGACTGGTTGACTGACTAGCTGACTGGGACTGGCTGTCTGGCTGTCTGACTGAAAACCTGCTGGCTGGCCGGTTGACTGGCTGACAAGCCGGCAGTCTGACTGGCTGGCGACTGCTGGCAGCCTGGCTGACTGACGACAAATTGCTGGCTGCCAGGCTGACTGACAGGCTGGCTGGACAAACGGACTTGTGGAAAAACAATCGGAATCCGCTTGAAAAGATCAATTGCTGGCTGACAGGCAGACTGAGTGGCTGGCTGACATGACTGACTTGAGGCCAAAACCACCGAGCAACCGGAATCCGCGTTGATGTCTTCCATTTGATTAAGCCCTCCGGAAAAAAACCACCTATTTCCAGTAGTGATAAACTCCTTTTTCAAACCAACAAGGAAAAGAACAAATATTCATCTCAGCACATGAAAATAATAAAATAGTTCGGAGACTACCACTGAACACTAAAAGGCCCATTAACCCACTAAATTTTATTAAATTTCAGCAAATGGAAGTTCGAAGATCCCTCCGAGCATCCGTGGAGATCGCCGAGAGCTGGCCGCTCAGCTGGCCGCTGGCCATCGCGCGCCGCGGGGACATGTCCTGCGATCGGACCCCGGTCCGGGAAAAGGGGAGGGGGGGGGGTCGGCGGACCCGGGGGGGGGGGGGGCCCAGGTGTGGTGGGGCTAGTCACTTCAACCCTGGGGCTGGAGGTCAAAGGATGTCCCTTTTGGAAGTGGCAAGTGGGTTGCTTCCCTGCAACTTGTTTTGTAGGGGTGCCATTTCGTGGTTTGGATTGCGTGGTGCTTAGCGGTGAACCCACTCACCCCCGAGAACCAGGAGGTTCAAATCCAAATCAAAACCAAACCACTCGGGCAGGAGTGACTACCGAGGCTTTGCAAAGGAACCCCAATTGAACCTTCGGGTGCTCTGCTCCCGCTTGCCCAGAAACCCCTATGGTTCCAATTTCCAGCCTGTCCTGGAAGAAAAATAAGAAGGGAACCGGGCAGGTTTAGCCGGGAGCCCGAACTAAAAGGGAAAGAGGTTCTACTGAACAACTGCAGCCGAGGTGCTGGCAAACTTTTTGTCCGAGCTTGCCAACCCCCCCCCCAAATAAAAAGTAAGGGATCCCAACGCATGGTAGTCGAATGCTAGCAAAGAGCCTTGGTTAGGAGGGGCTGGCACCTTTTCCATGCTCAATCAGGGGTATCCCTGAAACAGGGCCCCAAAACCAGAACAACCGGTCAGGTCCCCAAAGGCCCTGCTTCAACTTCCGAGGCGCTCCTTCATATCGAGCCACAGCCACGTGAAAACTTGCCGGTGCTCAGGGAATAAGGGAATGAGAAATGGAATGACTAGAAAAACCGACCCCAACTGGTGGTTCCCTGAGTTCAAGAACATGGCCTAGGCAGCCGAAAGAATCGTGCCAAGTGGATCACGGCCTCCCCAGCCGCGACCTCGTTTTCGAGCCCATCGGGAGTGGCAACACAAATCACACACACACACACCTTTTTGGTGGCCACTGAAATACTCTCCCCCGCCCCCCCCCCCCCAAAAAAAAAAAAAAACACATCAAAAACAAAAACATGTCCCACCCCCCCCCTCCCCCCCGCAAAAAAAAAGGGGAAAGAATGGGGAGCGATGCCCTGGAGAACCAGAAACGCGTCTTTGCGCGCCTGGCCCAGGCTCGCCACGGTCGCCACGGCCATCGCCCGGGGCGAGTCCTAAGGCGCGTTTTTTTGACGGGCACCTTGCCCGGAGTCCTCAACCCAACCCTGCACGCGTGTTTTTTTTGGAGACCTCTCCAGTTGGGTGTCGTTTTTTCTTCTTGCGCTACCCTGTTGCTTTTTAGTTTTTTTGGGAGAACTACGCTCGGTAGCTGCAAAAGGCTCCCTCTTGGGCAACAACAGAGATACCGGGTCCCATCTCCGGAACGGCTCCCTCGCACCAGCTAGCTTCGTTAACTCTTGGAGTCACCTTAGACAAATCCCTCTTGAGATAACATAGGCTCCCCACGGTCAATTCCTCCAACTGGGGGGTCCATGACCCTAGTGAAACCGGGTGAAACCAGCAGTTGCCGCAGGGGACTCCTTTGGGTCTTCTCCTCCATGGCTCCAAAAGGCGCCCGGAGTCGAGCTCCCGAAAACCTCACTAGCTCATTCGCACCCTCCCAGCTCAGTAGCTCCATGCAAAAGCTATTTTTCTACAGGTCCTCTTAAAACAGCACCCCTGCCAAGGGAAACCCAAGGGGAACTCACCTGAGAACGGACCAGGTGATGTTTCAGCCCGCAGGAGTGCAAAAGTGGGCCAGCTTGCGCGGTTGATCGCGTGCATCCCTGGCAGGCAAATTGTCTCGCTTCCTGAGTGGCCAGAAAAGTCTAAACATATTGCTTACCCCTACATGGTCTCCCCAAGAGCGGTTTTATTTTTCCGGAACTCTGGAACTGAGTTTAGGGAAACGACACGAGAGGCGAGAGAAACCAAAAAAGAAAGGGTTGCTCCGCAAATCCTATCCCTGGCACGGTAGATCGCAAACCCAGCCTCGATCCAAACAGTGTTTGATCGTGTTTTAGGAGTAACGCAGGTTGCGAAAAGGTTGATTAATCACATTGAAACAGTGGAGGGGGGAACCGGGCCGGCCCCTCTTACCCCTGCTTCGCATAGAAAAAGGTCTCAGCTGCCCACAGGTAGCCAGAAACTAAAGGTGAACATTTTGGGACCTTGCCAATCTCACTTGCTGAGTGGATGGCCCCAAAAAAAAGTTCAAACTGTACATTTACCCCTAAAATGGTCTTCCCAAAAAGTCTAAAAGATCATGAACTCAGGGAGTGAGCAAGAGGCCAGATCCGGTCCATTCGCTGAGACTCGCAACTGAGGGCCTAAGAGGCCAAAAGCCCGTTGACATCTGCGACCAGCCGAAACCGACCAAAGACCCAAAGCCAACCAACGCAATGCCAATACCAACCAAAAACCACCCAAAGACCACCAAAACCAACCGAACACCACCAAAACCAAAGAAAAACCAAAACCAACCGAGCAACCCGTGAACTCAGCAGACAGCGGCTCTGCGATCCAGCCTGACCGCTCGGCATGCTCACCATGCTCGGCATGGTCGACACGTTCATGGCCATTGCGCGCCGGGGCGAGTCCTGAATACGGCATGAATCCATACCCCGGACCTCCGCGGCCATAGCAAGAAATTGCCATTTTGTTAATTCATGTACCCGTCCGATTATTACGGGGTGTTCCCTCCAAAACGCGGAAGACGCATGGTGGAGAATTTATGTAACATTGCCATTTTGCTGATTCGTGTAGAAGGCAATGTTGCCCCCGGACGAATAAACCCGTCCGATTCTTGCCGGGTGTTCCCTCCAAAACGCGGAAGCGGCTTCGCCTTGGTGGGGAAGAAGCCTTTGTGTAAAGGGGCATGCCTGTGAGTACGTGCCAACCTGAATTGGGGGGGATTCGCTAGCAACCGGCCAAGCCGATTCGTCCACAGCCAGGCATCATGGGACCCAAACCCCCAGACTGGGTCCCCCAAGATACCACGTGTTTGTTTTGTTTTTGTTGTTTTGTTCTTTTCTTTTTGTCCGGTGGTGGATCCCAATGTTCTTCACTGCTCAAACGTCAAAGCGGCCACTGCTTCACCAATGCAGGGCTGTTTGCATTTCCCCCCTGCACCACCCCACGAAGAGGACATCGGTTCTACAGGATTCCTGAAAGCATTCCTCCAAAAACCACCTGCTTTACAAAGGGATCCTCTGCAAAATGCGATTGAATGGAATGCCTTGACTTGTCTTGGTCGCCATGGCTTTGAACAAATGGTGCTGTATTGTTAACCGCCCAAAGCTTTTGTTTGACTGGTGGAACCTGACAGGGGGTCCTGGAAGACAACTATCATTTTCAAGGGACCCCCCCAAGTTGATTGGTGGGAAGGTATATCTTTGTTGCGGGGCCCTGTCCAAAAGGCGATGTTGTTAAACTGGAACAAGCTTTTTTACATTTTGCAGGCCAATTTGCCCGCAGGAAGCCCACAGGCATGGAAAACGGAAGCTGGATGAAGCTGGGCTTCCATGATAGGACAGTCGAAACGATTCCCAAAAATATACTGGGTGTGCGCATATGTGCACTTTTAGGGCAAATAGATGGGTTTCCCTGGTAGATGATGAAACCACCAGGTAAAACAGGAATCGCCATCTATTTTTCCACCAAAACAACTATAAAAAGCACGCCTATGGGTGTGCGATGGCGCCTTCAAGTCGGCCCAAAAGAGATTCGGGGCACCCACCCCGGTTTTCTCTGATCTTCAGCCAGCTGGCAGTTGGCTGCACCATCTGCATCAACTGCCGGGGGCTCATCGGCGCCTGAGCTCATAAGGAATAGCCCCCCCGCCCCACAGCCCCCGTTGGAGGGGAAGATGAAAATGCGCGGGAGGCGTGGTTGGACCACTGATCCTTAAGATTCCCCCACCCAAACCAGTCTGGGAATTTCCGTTTGGGCCCTGGGGTCCATGTTCGCTTGCAGGGTTTTCAAGTTGCACACAGTGCGATATTCCAGGTGGACGTAATTCCGAGGTAAGGTCTGTAGGCACTTCTGCCATCCAGTTGATCGGAAAAATCCCAGCCCAAGGAAGCGGGCGTACGGGTCCCTGAATAGGAACCCATATTGGTGGTCTAACCATCTTGGTTAAAAAAAAAAGAGAACAGTTGATAGACCATCCCGAGAAAAAGGGGGCTTGTGAGCATGGCGCACCCCGAACAGACTGCGCTCGTTGGGGGAAACAGCTCTCCAGCTGACCTCCTGCGCCACTTCCCACATCCATCCCACCCGATCACCAAGTCGCCTCTGCCTGGGCTGGGCAAGGTGAAAGCAAACAGGGCGAAAGCGATACGATTTACAAAGATTAAGAGATTGATTATTTTCTATGATTTGTGCTAATTGCTTGTGTCGTGTTGTTTAGGAAACTGTTTGAATCTTAGCACGTTATTACAATTGTATGTCTTCCGTTCCAAATACCACAAGTCACCAGGGAAGGTTGGAAGTTTGGAAGTTGGTGTTGCATTGAGGTTTGCACCTCTGGCTAACCAGCCAGGGAAAACCAGAGGCGAGCATGCGAACCGGAAGGGATAAATTCAGTGCCCCCGCTCAAAGACGATGCTCTCAACAAGAACTGATGCTTCATAGCCTAGCTTGTGAGCCGTTCGTGGGCATGTTCCCCAAGTATGGCAAGGAAACAAGTAAGCCAAACGCCACCCCCAAAACCACGGCAAACCGTCAACTAGTGTTGGTTCACCCGTAACGACCCTAGTGCTTGCACATCTGTGACCCAAACCAAGGGCTCGAGATCCAACTTGGGCCTTTTCGAGCGAAAGTGCCAGGGACCTTTTTGGGTTTCCGAAAGGTCCCAGTTTGGTGACCCCAGAACTGGCAACCCAGCATTCGACCAAAGCAACCCTTGGTATGGGCTTGCAAGCAGAACGATGTTGATTCTTGCAGCCCCCCCACTGAAAGTCAACAAAACCCCCGGAACAAAAAGTTGGAACACCCTAAGCACTTGGCAACAAGAGCGAAGTCTACCAAAGTCGGTGAAGAGACACCACCAGTTTCTGACTTTGACCCATTCCAAGGGAACTTGGATCTGCACCCGATGCCTCTTCCAATCCATTCCCCGACGTCAACCACAACTTGGCTTTGCTCGGGAGGGAGCCTGCTGATACCGTCAAACACGTGTGCCCCCCTGGTTTGTCATGATTCCACACACACACACACACAAGTGTGCTACCCCGGCCCCCAAGCTGAAACAGGCTCACTATAAAGACATGTGAAATGCAGAACTGCTTGGTTGCTTGTTTCCCTTCAACCCGCTGTGCGGGTGACAAACTGGGCACGGTTTCGGGAAGATTCAGTAAAGATTGAAGTGTTAACTATAGGCTGCTTTTTCTGCCCTTTTGACTTCCTTTTGGGGAGCTTGACATGTCACGCATGGTGTTTTCTTTCGGTTGCGGCGAAAAGGGACGCTTGTTCCCCATTTGGCCCGGCTGTGGCTTTGCAAGGTGCCAATCAAAGCGCCAAAATGCACTGGAAAGGAGGGTTCTGAACCAGAACGCCGAACAATGGCTCCGAAAGGCTCCCGCTTAGTGTCTTAGGCACATGTATGGATATCCCCAGGTCCGGACGGCTCCCTTCCAACCACTAGCTAGCGCACGAATTTCCGAACCCTGAGCTAAGAGATCTCCGAAAGGGCCTTGATGGCATTCGCTCGTATGCACGTCCCCACACTCACGGACGCTGCCGAATGAGGGGGGCCTCAACAATGTGACTGGTCCCTAACTTGCTGTAGGAGCCTGGGTTTTGGGAATGAACCTGGGGATTCCCTTAAAGGAAACCATAAGGGTCATACAAAATAGTTCCAACTCATGTCCCCAAGGTCTCAGGCGTCGGACTCAACTCCGCTCGACTCCACTTGAGGTCGACTCGAGGCAAGGCGCGGGCAAGGCCACTGCCACAAGGCCATTGGGCAGTAGCACCCTTTGGCCCTGCTGGAGCCGCCTGGCCACCGGCGAGCGGCCAGCGATTCGCTCGGAGCTCGGAGATCGGCAGAACCGAGTCAGGTGGTTGGAATATTGTGTGTGTGTGGCCGTGTTTGATTTTTGCCCGGGCGTGGAAGACATGGATTGCACAAATATCCGGTCAAGGGCTGACAACCAAACAGCCCTGAGGCCAAGCTCAAACACAGTAATATTGCCCTTGCTCATGTGGAGCCTCCTCTTTGGAAAGAGCCGCGTGTTCTTTGCTTGGGTTTGGCTCCTTACATGGGTGCGCCTGAAATAAGAGACCCCGTTGTCACTCTTGTTCCTTTAGCAACCCAAAAGGCCGCCCAATTGGAATCGAACCGCAAACAAACCGGGAACGCGAATCCAACCTGAGATTCGAGTCCTATGGCTTTTGCCGTCGGCTTGGGGCCCCAAAGGGGCCCCCCCAGGTGGAGCTCTTTTGGCACACCGCTCATCTTTCCAAGTTCCCGGCAAATTTGCCTGCAAAAAGAAAGCCAGAGCTCCCGGCTTTTAGGTTGGCCTTGCCCAAAGGAAACTCGCTTTAACCGGCCCAAGCCGATGTTTCAAGCCAGCAGACATCTAGAGACTCAGCCAAACCAGCGTTTTCTTGCCCTTTAAACCGTACAACAAAAACCCGACACCCGCACCCGAGATGCAAATCCGAGGTGCCTGATGGGCGAAGAGTCCGGCATAGTCACCGAGGATGCGGCCGGCAGCTCCTTCAGGAGTTTTGAGGGTACCTTTGTGGAGGGTCCCCCAAACTAACATGGAAGCTCCGACCTCTTTGAAAGACTTGGCTCCATTTGCAAATGGAGGCCTTCTGGGAGCTTCCGGCTGTTAGTCTGAGAGAGTGTGGTTCAATCCATTTGGAAAATCACCATTTGCTCCGGGTCCAACCAGTACACAAAGAAAACATATATCAAAGGCAAACTGTGGCGCATGCGTGTCTCTCCCAAATGGCCATGTCATGCATCGGACCTAGGTACAATTGAAGCCCACAAGCACCCCATGCCATGGTCAAACATGACCTTGGGTAACCTGAGCATCAGGAGCTTCATGAGGTTCATGACCACCCGTCCCAACGAAAAACAAAAAAAAACTAAAATAGGAAGAACACATCTATATATATGTACATATATGTATATATATATAAACGTGTAAAAAAGGCACAAAATTAAACTGTCAACTTCTGCAATGTGTGTCCTTCTTCATAGATTTGCTTTTGTGTCGCACACTGAGTGAATCCCCACATGGCTTGATATAATGAACCCTCAAGTTTATGGGCAGTCTTTTCTCATGGGGCAAGCTGGCTTTACCCCCCCCCAAACCAAAAACAAAAACAAAAAAACGAAAAGAGCGTCATGTTTTCCCCGGAGCACGCGGCAAACAGTTCGCGCACGCCCATCCTTGGGAGATGCGGAGCGCGGGGAAATCGCCTTGGAAGGTTTCAGCACTGACGTGGGATCGAACATGCCGCTCAGAGCCCCACCGCCACCCCGGAACTTCCATTTGGTTGAGCAACTGTTACTAGTCATGGTGGTGACATATGGCGCAGTATGCTGACTGGCTCACCCGAGATTTCGCCAGTGTTGGATAACAGCCAGTGTTGGATAACACCTTTATATTGCTATCTATTGGATAAGGCCAACTACAAATAGTTTGTTTTTACCTTGACCCACCTAGTGCTTAAGCAATCTCAAACTGCCTGGGAATTTTTTTCAGTAGTAATAGATTCCCTTTAAAGCCAACAGGGGAAAATGAACCATATTCATTTCAGCAAATGGAAGGCAACATCTGCTGTTTGTCCATGTCCCAAATCCCGAGAGCAGTGGTTGGGGAGGCTGCTGGCAGCTTGTTTTTCTGTGCGGAAGCCGAAGGTCCCAGGTCCATGCTGCATATGTCCAGGCCACGCACCCTGCAAACAATGAATAACGCCGGGTTTTTAACCTTTGGGACTTGGTTGGCTTCATCTTTTTTTCCATTCCCGGCACCTAAACAGACGGGAAAAACAAAAATCCTCGGCGGAGTTTATCTCTCGAGCTCCGAGAGGCGCAGCTCAGATCCGGCTTGTTCTTGGGGCTCGGCGCCTACGAAAGATCCCAGCGAAGGATTTCCCACCAAAAATCTGGGCTGTCCGTTTTCTGATCCGCAAGAAGTGAAACTAACTTTTAGTAGGTTGCATGGAAATCCCCACTCACGACTGGAATCAAGAACGGAGTTGAGGAACCTTGCCTGATGCATGCCAGCCTGCTCTCCCTTCTGAGTCCCCTCACTCCTCACCAAACTACTTCCATGTCAGAATAGTAGTCACCCCCTCTTTATTTTTGCTCACCCCTACTTTTACTAACACCCGGCCCTAAATCCCTTTGGCCCTTTCCGATCCTCTCCCTCTTGGCCAATTGGACTGCAGGAATTTGGAAGTGCCAATGCGCATTGCCAGCACCAGAACCCCCGTGTTTTTCTCGGCGCGTACCGAAAGCTTCGTCCCCTGAAGTGCAAGGCACCGCCCCATGGACGCCCCTCACCAAAAGTCAAGTTGGAGGCTGTCCGCGGGATGCCCATGTCAGAAACTCCATGTTGATCTGTGGCGGGAAAAAAGAGAGAGCCAAAGCCAACCTCTTGCCTAACCTCGCGTTTGAACACTCCTCTCGTGTCGCAACATCCTGCCCCTTTGCTTCGCCTTCCGGTGGCAAAAGACCATCGCGAACCCCAGAAACTGCCCACCATGAGACACCAAAGACTTTCCGTCCAAGTCTGGATTGCATAGTGGTTTGCATTTGGACTTGAACCCCTGGCCGAGGGTTGCAAATGGGACCCCCTCTTTAAAGTCTAACCACCAAAACGGCCGGTTCGGCTCCAAGCCGCCCAACAAAAAACGAGGGTTCATGGGAACCCCTCAAAACAAAAAAACAAAAACAAAAAACGCAAGCCGTCGAATCGGCTCCACACCACCAACTAGTTGCAGGGAAGCTGAGGGAATCGCGCTCGCCGCGCTCGCCGCGCGATGGACGCGTCGCGATGGACGGCTCGACTCGACCGCCTGCGCCATGAGCGGCGCCGTGGAGCCGTTGGACATGGCCATCATCAGCTGCGGCGAGCCGTAGATCCCGCCCTGCGCGATGCGATCCAACGCCGAAAAACCGAGTCGAGTCCCCCCCCCGTATTTCCCCTTGAAGCATCACGCTTAGATAAAGGAACGCGTCTATGTCCCCCTTGAAATCATCACGCTTACCCAGGTGATGTGTAAACAGGAAAAGGGACATACCCGAAACGCCGCTTGGTTGTGGGGTCGCCGTGGTTCCCTTTGAAGAAACCATGACTATACTGTCGTTGGGTGGTCTCAATTCCTTCTTTGAGGCTTAACGACTCGGCTTGGACTCATGTTTCGTCACGTGTCAAGATAACATCCGCTTCTACGGCTCCAAGGTGGGGGGCTTCGGGTTTCAGCTGCGGGTAGATTTACAGATTTCATCCGACCAACGAAGATGGAAGTTCTTTTTGGCTGATTCCTTTTCCGTTCTTTTCAACCCTCTTTCCAATAAACCGGATCCGTTTTCCCCGGGTTTCCGGAGGTTTTCCGGAAAGGATCCCTGGAAATAATGGAAATGGAAGGTCCCCTCTCCACGAGGGAAGTCGTCTTTCTACAGGAGCTCTGCGCACTTCCATGTTTGTCGGTGGGACGGTGCATGGAACCCCAAAAACCTTATAAGAGGAAACTGCTTTTGGAACCCCCCCCCCCCCCCGCCCTTTTGGGCTCAAACCATCTCCAGTGTCTCTTCAGCTCGCTCGTCGAGAGTGCCGCGTTGCGGTGAAGACTTGACTAACCACCAATTGATTATCCATCATTTAAGGCAAAATTCTAATTTTGGGGAAATGCAAATATGATCCCTTCTATTTTCTTGGATAAGCCAACATCATGGGCTATATTGAGCACCCGACTCAAGGTCGACTGAGCCCCTCGGAAAACATGTGCCGCGCTTTGAACTGAGAGGCTGGTCTCTTGTGAGCTGCCAGACGCAGACGCCACCCCTGCTTCGCAGGATGACAAGCTGGTGAAACTCTAACTTGTCACACTCGTGCAATCGTCGGCCAGCCATCATCCCCACCCCTAAGAATCATGCATTTCCCACACACACAGGGACCATCAGAATGTTATAAAAAGGGGGATCCCTTTGGATACACCTGATTCGGTGGGGATTCCGGCCAAAGGGGCATATTGGCCTCAAACCTCCTCGTCTGAGGCAATCTCCGAATCCTGATCCCCGCAAATTGGTCGCGGATGCGTACGCGGAATTGGTCAAACACCGAGCTCCTTTCCAAAACCCCAAGAGGCTAATCTGTACGCAACTGGCCTGGTTTATACGGCAACTTGAAAACCAAGAGTGGATTTGCATGGGGGAAAAATTAAAAAAAAAAAAAGGATTCGGCCTTGCTTGGGGATACTTCTTGTGTGTGTGTCTTTGTTTCAGGGGACCCTTTCTTGGGTTGCCACGGAGGCGCCTCATGTTGGGACCACTTTGGCCTGGCTGCAAGGCTGCAAGCCCGAACCCTGGAGGTCGGGGGTAGGATCGCTGGGATGCAGCTCACCAAAATCCATGACAAAGAAAGGGGGTGCTTCGTTGGGGGGCTTTATCTCAGCTTCCCTCCAACTGGTGGTTTGGAACTGGTGGTTTGGTACTTAAGGAGGGGTTTTTCTTTGCCCCCTTCAAGAGCCAGAGGTTCAAATCCCAAAATCCAAAAACCCAGCCACCTGCCAGGTTATCTGAGAAAATAGGCCAAGCCCCTCCCCAAAAGAAGGAAATCATCTCGTGGGGTTTGATTGATTCGGCTTCTCTATGCTTCTCTCCTCCTCCAGGGCGATGACATCTCTGACCCCCGGCTCCGGCGTCAAAGCGGGCACCGGGGGCTGCTGCCTGTGCTCCTCCATGAGCTTCTGAGTCTTCTGGAAGGCTTCCTCAGAATTTGGTTTCCATAGGTGACCTTTTGGAAAAATAGATGGGTTTCCCTGGTACATGGAATTTGCATAAACCCCATCTAAACCAGGAATCGCCCACGATTTGTTTAAAGCAAACCCGCTAGCGCCAAAAAAAGCTCGCCGTGCTTACGCAAACCAACAGGCGATGCAGTTAATATGTGGGTGTGTCGCTGTTTGAGGGCGCCCCCTTTTTGGTGGGTTTACAGGGAAACCAACGGAACACCAGCTTTAGGGTCCCCCAAAAAAGACACACCCATACAACAAAAGAACACTAATACAAGCAACCTCCGGTCATGCAGGTGGAAGGCCCAGGCAAGGTTCGTAGGCGATCGAACCTCTCCCCAGACAACTCGTGGGGGGGAACCCTCCGCGGCCCACTGTTGACCCAGGATTCGGCCCCAGTTGGCTGATAGGGAGCATCCCATGCTCACTTTTGGCGGCACCAGCCCCCTTGTTCATCACGAGGTTTACTAGTCCGGGGTCGGCATTTCGCGCCGGCAAAAGACACCCTGGCAAGCGCAAAACCGCATGTGGCGACTTGACGCGTGTGACATGCACAGACAAGACAAGCAGACAAACGGTTAACCACACAAGCACAAACACACCGAGAGAGAGAGAGAGAGTGAGAGAGGGAGAGACAAAGGCAGATAGCGACAAAGCGCGAGAGAGAGAGAGAGAGTAAAACAAATACATTGGCAAGAGCAAAGCAAGCCAGCCAGCAAGCAGCAACCAAGATCAACCAAGCCAGCCAGTTAGGAAGCAAGTGACAAAGCAATCACGAGGTGAAGTAGGGCAGGGAATGTCAAGGCAAGTCAAGCCAATCAACACTATGCCAAGACCACTCCGAAAGATTGCCCACTGCCCCAGCAAGTGAACAAAAACCCGCTTACAGTCTGGCCTGCAACTCGTAATGCGCCGAGCTTCCCGCTGATGATCCTTCAAAATGTTGGCGTGCATTGCTAGCGCCCCGCCCAGGAACGACAGCGCGACGTTCTCCGCGTCCGCCTGGCATTGAGTCCAAGGCTTGAAAATGCCAAGAGCAAAGCGGGCCCGGCCGGCGCCTGATTCGGGAACCAGACCAAGACACTCGAGGCTTGGGAAACAGGGGGCAAAGTAGCTGGATGGTCGTTCGTGACCTTAAGCACGAACCACAACTAGCGACTCCAGTGGCACCCACTTTTTTGGGTTCGTGAGTTTAAGGGAACTCCTTCCAAAAGCAAATTCCGGGACACATGCAAGGCAGGGTGTGAGTCAGCTTCTCAGGGCCGAAACAATTAGATGGAGTTGTCGGGTACTTCAAAGCAAGTGTTGATCATGACTGCAGCTGAATACAGCTGAGGCACGCTGCAAGTAATATTTGCGGATTCCGCTCCATATGTAGCCTGAAAATTTCCTACCTCCACAAACATGTGGTTTAATTATGGGGCGCATTCCAATCAACACAGCCGCTTTTGAAGGAGACCCCAGCTGCATGGCCTTCGGCTTGGGCGGCGCCGGCGCAGGCGCAGCTTCCTCGACCCACGCTGGCGCCGGTTCCGGAGCCGTCGGGAGCTCTGGCTGGACCTTGACGTCCTCCGGGACGGCGTCCCAGGTCCTCGCACTGCGCGCAAGGGGTCCAGCCGTGTGCGCGCGTCTGCTTCTTGGAGGAAACAGGCTTTAAAAAATGGGTACGTTTGGTGCGTTTCGTGCTGTTTGCACTGTGTTGTGGTGCTTTTGGAGGCTGCCCTTTTTTCACATTGGTTTAAAGGGATGCCGAAACCTGAAAACAAAACAAACAAAACGGGGTCCAGCATCTTTTGTGTTTTTTGGAGGGTGCCCGTTTTTCTCATTGGTTCAGCAGGACGCCAACAAAAAATGCTCGGGGTCCCCCTATGTTTGATACACACACATTTGGAACAGGGGCTAGAAAATAGGCAGTGACCCCGAATTTCAAAAGAGGATGGACATCCCATAGTGGCGCTGGCTTCACTGACAACCGCTGCTGGCAAGGGGGTTCCCCCCATGCACTTGGCAGATCTCAGGTGCTGAAGGCACAGCAATGCACACGCGCAGGTGCGAAACAAAGACTTGGAGGCCCGTTCAACCTCAAATGAAGCTCGCACAAGCTCCGCGAAGGCGGTCGAATATAAGAAAACCAAACCAACCGAAGCACAAGTTGAACGATCCTGGAATAGCATCCCGCGCCCGTGGTCTCTTTTTTTGGGGGGGACCAAAAAGCGAGTACACCTGCACATTTGGGGCTTAAAACGAAGTTGTGCTAATGCATGTTTCAAAACAAGTAGTCCAATAACGACCACCCCCCGTCTAACATGGAACCCACCCAAGACATGATTCCTTTCAGGGGAAGATGGTATTCCAGGACCTGCCAGCCAAGTTCCGCATTCAAGAATGCATTTGGGCCAGGTAGAAAGCACATTTCGGATTTAGAGGAGCCGATCCTTGCTCAGGTAGTTTTTGAATGCAACGAGCCCCTGAAAATTGCATGGCTTCCCGTCTCACCGCACTCAACTGTTTGAGGGTCCCCTAAAAAACGAGCCACCCATATCGGCTTGTTGGTATGCAACCCCCCCCCCCCAAAAAAAAAAAAAAAAAAAAAAAAAGAAAAAAAGGAGAAAAAAAAAAGAAGAAAAAACAGTCTAAAGATCCGTCGCCCCAGAGCAAGCAAGAGCAAGTGGCAATGAGACCGCACCGATTTCAACTGAGTTCCCAATTTACGGCTCCCCAAAAACACCCCCAAGGGTATAGGTTTTTATTTATGTACCTATACACAAATTAAATAAATAAT